TTTAACCCCCCCTCCTTTTTTTTGCTGCAGTTTGGGAATGAGGTCAGGGTGAGACAGCCAAGCCAGGAGGAAAGTGAGTTGATGATTAACTACATCTCTCCCAACCTTCCCCCCCCCCACTCTCTTTCACTCCATCATCCACCCCACTTTCCAAACACGCTTCCAAGCATCTTTCACCTCTTGCTCTTCCTCTCTTCCCTCAAACTTGGGGGGGGGGGGAAAGAAACAAAGGGGGTTTCTTCCTTGGCATTAAAAAAAACCACCCCAAAACAACCCCCCCCCCAAAATTCCAAAAGCCCTCTTAAATGCTTGCCTTTGCTGTGGATTATTGATGGCTTCCCATTTTTGTGTGTGGGGACCTGCAATGCTGCATTTGACATTTGGTGGGTCGATCAGGTGTAACAATTTCTGATGGATGGCGTTCTTGTGATTTATTTATTTTTTACTTCTTCCTGGCACACACACTGTCCTCCGTGGGGCCATCTATTACGGCTTGCTCGGCCCCTCCATCCTCCCAGTTGTGGTTATCGTTGAAGAATACAGTTAAAAACAGATAACCGTCCTCTTTCCTTCTGTTCAATGTTTCCTAAATTGAGATACTAGATGATTTAAACCCCCTGCTTAATTTGTTAGAATGAGAGACTCCCGGATTTTCACCTGCATGCATCAGATCTGCCGAGAAGTAAGAGCCTCCGGGCATGCTTTAAATGTGTTTTGAGGTTGCTGCTGTTTACCGTCTTTTTGGTGCGGCGTTTGATCCTTTTTTTTAACATTTATAGACTTACTGCTTTTTCGCTTCAAATATTTGTATAGTTGCTGTTTTCGGCTTTCAGTGCGGCCTTTGAATGATGTGAACCGCCCTGCGTCCTTCGGAAAAGGGAAAAAAAAGCCGAGGAAAAACATTTTGAATATCAATAGATAGTGGTGAAGGAAAATCTATATGTCCATAGTCACTCTTTGCACTTAACTTGAAAGTTAAGCAATTTAAATGGCTCTGGGGCCATATTTGTGTGTGTTTTGTGCTGTCAAGTTGGAACCGACTTATAGCAACCCACCTAATAGGGCTTTTAAGGTAACTGAGATACAGTATTTAAGGAGTTGGTTTTATCAATTCCACACACACCCCCGCAGTGAATTTCCATTGCCGAGTAGGGATTCGAACCCAGGCCATGGTGGGAAACTACGGTTCTGTGTTTAGTCTTAGTTTATTAAACATAGGTGGATTTTCAGCTTGGAAGGATCCCCCCCCCTCTGTATTTAGCCTCGGTGACACATTTTGTCCATGTATCCGGACAATTAAAATACAGACGCTTAAGAAGGCTTCCCAAAATCTTGGCTTCGGGGGTAACTTTTCCCTCTTATGTCTGATATTTGCTCCTTTTCCTTCCATTTTTAAGAGGGGGGGGGAAATCTAGGCGGTGTGTCGGATTCTTTGAAGTCCCCTTTGACTCCTTCGGTTTGATTCTTCGGCCGATGTTTGGGCCGCATCCCTTCAGATTTGTTCTAAAGGCTGCAGGAGAAGGCAAGTGACTGTTTAAAAAAAACACAACAAAATAAAACAAAAACAGGAAGAAAGGAAACCGACCTGGTTTATCCATGGGTATCGAGAAGCTGGGGGGGGTTATGACCGGCAACGTGGCTTAAAAATAGAAATGTGTGGTTTAACTGTCGAGGCACTCCCTGGTTTGGGGGTTTGGGGTTCCTCTCTCCTTTTGTTTTTTGTTTTTTTGACAAAGCCGCTAACTAGATACAGAAAGCTGTGACCACTCTTGCCCTGTGCCCATCTGAAAGGAAATGAGTGGCCGGTTCATTGTGCGGGTTCGGGTTTTTCGAACTCTCACTGTGTATCTGATGGAGAGGGTTGAACACTTCCAGACGTATGATCCTGATGGATCCAATTCCTTGTGGCACATCTGTTTCCGACTGCAATTGACCCGCACATGGAAGGTTTTTTTTTTGGCTGCAGATTTTGCTCCATGTGGTGCACCAGAGATCAACAAAGCTGATATATATAGGCCTTAGGAATGGACCTCAACAGATGGGAAACCTTGACCTCTGAGCATTCAGCCCGGAGGCAGCCGGTGCATCATGGCTTCTCCCAATTTGAAGAGACCCTTGTCCAGCAGGCCGAGGCAAAGAGGCAGTCCCGAAACAAGCAAAACCAGGGAGCTGGACAGGGGACAGATTGTATTTGTTTCCAGTGTGGAAGGGATGGTCACTCTTGAATTGGCCTTCTCAGCCACACTAGACGCTGTTCCAGGACCTCCATACAGAGCACGATGCCATAGTCTCTCGAGACTGAAGGATGCCTACACACCATATATATATGAGAAGGTCTACCAGATCCTCTCAGATATCCAGAGAGGCCTGGATTGTTTCTGTATTTTTGAGGTCCTGACATATTAAAAAAGCAAAGAATCGGTGCAAAAAAACAGGGTTACAAAGATTGTTGTATACTTGAAATCGTTTGTATACTTTAAATTTTAGATCTGGTGTGGGTGGGATCCCTGGGTCATGGCTGTGATTTTGGACCGGCATGGACAAATGTTGTTCGACTACAACTCCCATAAGGTCTCACCCTGAACTCTGCTGGTTGGGGCTGATGGATGGTGTTTTAGAGACGCCTTGTGGCGCAGTGGTTAAAATACAGTAGTGCAGCCAAAACTCTTTTCACAACCTGGGTTCAATCACAGGTAGGCGGCTCAAGGTTCACTCACCCTTCCCTCTTTTTGAGGTCGGTAAACTGAGTTCTCAGATTGCTCTCTCTGTGTGTGGTGGCCATGTGTAGGCTGCATAATTAAATTGTAAACTGTCGAGAGAATGCTTGAAGTGCTGTGGGGTGGTTGGATAAGCAGTGCGCTTTTGCCGTTTGCTTTTTGTTGTCTAAGGACATTGGGATGGTCACTAATTGCCAACTCCTGCCTGGCTGAAAAAGGAACAGAAAAAAAATCGGACAGGATCGGTTAGGCGGAATTGTTCAAAACTTCTTCCTCTTGTTTAAAACTGAGAGGAAAGTTTGGTGGTCCTGGTGGGCCCCTGCCCGGTAACGAGTCCTGGGGATGATAAAGGTTTATATCATGGGTGGCATTCAGAGCAGCGATGCAATAACGTGTGAATGAGAAAAGATTGGGTGGTGGTGGTGATAAAGGTCCTATAAAAGATTGAGAAGGATTTAAAAAACGTAAACATTGTACATATCTCACTGTTGTTGTTGTGTGCTGTGGGGTTGTGACCCTATAAATGATTGACCTCCCAAAGGTCTGGTCCTCAAGAGCTTTATTCCGATCTTCCAAAGTCAACCTTGTGGCTTGAAGTTGGTCTATCTCATATTTTATCTCCTTCTGCCTTCCTAGTTGTTATTTTCCTGTGCGTCTTGCCTTCTCATGGATGTTCCAAAGCATGACAGCTTTCATGTTGTCCTTTTTTGCTTCTAGAGTTCAGGCTTAATTTGACCGTGGACCCTTTTTCTTTTCTTTTCTGGCTGTCCTTCATATCTGTAGAGATCTCCTCCAGCACTAGATTTCGAACATATCTTTTTTTCCCCAGTTGGCGTTCTTCATTGTCCAGTTTTACCATCCATCCTTCCGTCTGTCCATTACTGGGAATCTCACGCTTAGTAACAACCGGTTGTGTGGTTATTATCTTGGTTAGGGAAGTTCATTGGCATAGCACCCCCTTTGAGGAAGTCACCCATTTTTATAGGCGGGTCAACTGAGGATACGACCCCCTGGCTGAAAGAAGCCAGCAATGGGCAACCATTAGACTACACAGATGCTTCCTTTAGGTTTCTGGCGGTTCTTCGTTATGGCGTAACCATTTCCTTTGGCTTTCCCACAACACTGGTGGTGTCCCTACACAAGTTTAACCGACTGGAAACTGATCTGTACCCTTCCTGTCCCTAAGCACCCATGTGACGCCAGCCGTTAACTAAACTCTTGCCATGTCATGGAATGTTCATAAACACTTCAACTGTTTGGAGGGAAATGATTTGGGTGCAGTACACTGGTGAAAGGTGCTGTTCTTTTGCGGAAGAGGAAGCAGGCGGTTGATACCAGGGCACGAAATTCTCTGTGGGCCTTCAGTCAGATCCTCTCAGTGCCCAGGGTCTAAGACCACAAGCCGCCTAGAGTGGTCTGGTAGTCCAGATAGGCGAGGTATAAATCAAATAAATAAATAAATTTTGAAATTCTCTGGCCAAAAGAAGGGAAACAAGAGGTTGATTCTAGACACCGCACTTGAAGAAGGGCGTCAACAAAATGGATCAAGTTCAGAGGAGGGCAACGAAGATGATCAGGGGACTGGAAACCAGGCCCTAGGAGGAAAAAGTGAAATAACTGGGCATGTTTAGCTTGGAGAAAAAAAGACTGAGGGGAGAGAGGGTAGCACTTTTCAAAGACTTGAAAGGTAGACCTACAAAAGAGGGGTCAGATCTGTTCTCCATCATCCCAACGTTCAGGACGTGTCACAATGGGCTGAAGTTGTAGGACGCCAGATTTTTGGTTGAATATCAGGAAAAACTTCTTAACTGTTAGAGCAGTATGACAATGCAACCCAGGACCACGGACGATGGTGAGTGCTCCGAGGCTGGAGGCATTCAAGAGAAAATTGAACCCCCATCTCTCAGATCTGGGTTGACTTGGATTCCTGTCTTAAGCAGAGGGATGGACTTGATGACCTTCTAGGTCCCTTCCAACTCAACGGTTCTAGATTTCCAACCTAAGGAGGGCTGCAGCATAAGAATTAAGCATGCTGCTTATATACCGCCCCCTGGGATTGAACCCCAGGTCGTGAGCCCAGTTTTGGCTGCAGTCCAGCGGTTTAACCACTGCGCCACGAATTACCGTATTTTTCGCACCATAAGACACTTTTTCCCCACAAAACGGGGGTGGAAAGTGTGCGTCTTATGGAGCGAAGAAAACAGATTATATTTTCCTGTTTTCTTCTCCTAAAAATTGGTGCGTCTTATGGAGCGAAAAATACGGTAGCTAGGAAAGGAATGGCATTGAAGAATCACGTTGGTTGAGATGGAAATGTTTGGACTGCAGTCCAGGATCATTATTTTCTGTGATGAAA